ACTGATGTGCTCATTTTGCATGAGTCATAGCACACATTTTTTTCATTGATACGTATAAGCATACTGCAAATAAAATATTACTAAGCATGGCCCCATGTGGTCACCACCCAAATATAAGATTTTAATTCACGTCCTGACAACCCTCCCTCATTTAGAGGTCTCTACACCCTGATTCGTGTGATATCTTGCTTTTTGCTGTAGATTTGCTGCTGCTCATAGTTTTTCTCAACTAGATGGACTCCTACTGTCCGTTTCCTTTTGTGATTTGCCTTTGCCATATTGTGAGATTCAGCCTCCGTGAGACACAAGGATACTCACTAACAGAAGCAGTTTCTAATAGCAAAAACGAGATGTTTATCAGCAGGACCACAGATAACTTATATCCTGTACAGAGTGTAATAATAAGCAGTGATGATGCACAAGCTACAGCTTTGTCACAAGTACATATCAAAGGGCTTCAAAAAGTTAGTGGAAAAATTCCATCACTACTTGATTTTTCCACAAACACTCTGAAGCACTCTCATATTATCTTCAAAGGATCTTTCAGTTTTATTTTTCATATCAGGTTTTAATAAATCTGGAATTTGTTTTATATTTCGCAAGGTAGTAATCTGAAGAAGGAAAAAAAAACTTTGATATATTGATTTGATAGATATCCAATTATCCCATCACCTTTCCCAAGTCTCATCTTTTCACCACTGATCTGTAATGTTTCCCCTGAGGCATGTCACAAATTCACATATGCCTGATAGGTTTCTCAAATTGTTTCCCTGTCTAGATCTAGCCTTAGAGGCAAGCCTACTTCTAGATCTGTGGAGAGGAAAGCAAAACAGCAGCAGTTCATGGGAAAATTCCATTACATTTTCATTCCATTTTCCCGTAAACTTTTTGAAGCTTCCTCATACACCTTTTCTAGTAGGAGCTAGGAAAGGGTCCTTTTTTAAAATTACTGTATTACATTTTAACGCACAATGAGTTGGTGTTAAATCAATTCCAATTTATAGTGAACTAAGTATGTCCGTAGAATTGTGCTCCATAGGGCTTTTCAATGACTGAGGGATTTTTTGTTTTAAGATGTAGATCACCAGGCTTGTTTCTAAAGTACCCCTGGGTGGATTTGAACTTCCAACCTTTTGGTTAGCACCCAAGAACATCACCATACGCCCCCATTCAAGAATGTGTTCAATGTACAGAAATGGCATGATATTAGCAGTTCTCAAACTCTGCATCAATTTAAAGGCACCATAGGATATTTTAGATTTTCAAAGAAAACATAGTAACCAGACTGGAAAATTACTTGTTTGAGATAATTCACAAATTCAACATTAGATCCTGCTACATTGCTTTTAATGAAATAATATATTTGTGCAGCTGGGTTTTTGGCTATTGCTAGGGTGTCTTTTTTTTTTTTAAAGTACCAAATAAAAATGTATACCCAACATCCCATTAGGCAACCAGTTATTTACGAATTAAATAATACTCCTTCATTCAACTTTTCCCCCAAATATCAGATTGTTAAGCCATAAATAAATATTTGTGGTTACCAATTGGGCTGCTAACTTAAAGGTCAGCAGTTTAAAATGACAAGTAGGAGACAAATGAGGCATTTTTACGCTCACAAAACCTTCGTCTTGGAAACCCACAGGGGCAGTTCTACCCTGCCCTATGAGGTCGCCATGAGTCAGAACTGAACTGATGGCAATGAGGCTTGTTTTGTTTTGAAGCAGAACTGTTTCAGACGAATTGTTAGAAACTTCTTTTGGCAGAGACAACTTTGAAATAAAATACTGAGATACTAAAGTGACACATCAAATTTAGGAACATTTGTCATGTCAAGAACACTTCAAAATCTGAGGAATGTTCTTAGATTCCACCAATAGCCAAGTCAGAGCAAATGGTACATGATCTGCCTTGATTTGCTCAGTGGCAAAATGAGAATAATACAACTCAATACCTGACAGTATTATTCTGAGGACTACTGTGAGCTGAAAACAAAATTGCTGCTAACCTTGAAGGGGAAAAAAAAACAAGAAATATTCATCAAAAGAAAAATTATTAGAATATGTAAATCATGAAATACATGGAAAGCAGAATCTCACCTTTCTGAAATCTCTTCTAATAACTCCATAAGTTTAGCTGCCAAACCAAGGCGTCGGAATTCTGGGGCAACAGACAGCGCTGTGACATGCCCGTGCCATTCTTCCCTTGCCACTGAGCCTTCTGCTTTCCCCATAACTGTGGAAAAAATTTGCACCCAATAATTGAACACAGTAATTTGAACATAAATATGTAATAATTACTAGCACATTCCTATTACAAAGGGAACAAATGGAAGTTTCCTTCTAAGTGCTAATTGAGGCCATCTAGCTAATGATCAAGTACTGTTATTTGAATTTCACATGCAACATAATGAAAATCTAGTCCTAGGAATCTTAGGGAAAGTGCCTATTTTTCAAAGGGATGATTTACTAGAAAAAACCATGTTTTAAAAATGTTTCGTGTGTTTATTGATAGGTGTGGCCATACAGACTAAGGCAATCTGTAGCTCAAATTTTTGGTTAGTAAAATAAAAAATTCAACCCCTACCCAAAAATGCACTTGACACATTATGTACCAATTAAATCATATAAAAATTATAAGAATGCATGTTAGGTCAAAATGTTGCTACCACAGGTTTATTCCAAAACAAACATGTTTGAACATGTGTGGTAGTTATATAAATTGTTAATTTGAGGATGAAGAGTGAAGGAGGGGTAGAGTCTAGTCTGTCAATCAGATCATAGCCAATGAGGCCTCTGTGTGGACATCGCTTTCTCCTTATAATTCTGAGAAATCTAGATTTTTCTCCTCAGAGACGAGAGACACTCTCTTGCTCTGTGGACTCCTGCGAGGCGTCCCTGAGGACAAGCCACATGGACTACCCTGATGCAGCCCTGGAAGCTGGAGAAGCCATGTGGACACCCATGCCAGCACTGACATGATTACACCACCACTCCAGATTTTCTACCCACTGGCCTGTGATCGTCCTGCATATGGTGTCATTGCATGTGTTTAGTGCGTCTGATGAGGACTTTAAATTGGTATCTGACATATAGACTAATGGTCTTAGGGATTTGATCTAGGCTGGGCTAGGATGTTTTCTTAATGTACAATTACCCTTTATATAAAACTCTTATACACTTATGTGTCTCTATGAATTTGTTTCTATAGTGTACCCAGACTATCATAACGTGTCTGTGGACAAATTCTCTCAGTAATACTCTCATCATAGTTTAGTTAGGGTGCTTGGCTATGGATGGTAGGTTTAGTCAAAACAATGGCTTTCTGAGCAGGCTGAGCATGGTGTGCAGGAGAGGTGGGCAAATAACTCAACATAATAAAGATAAATGACAACAGAATTAAACACTAGAGTTCCAACAGCTTGCTTTGCATGGAAAATTGATGCCAGCCAAATCTGTACAACTGTATGAGTCTTTTGAGGGTAGCTCATTCCAGTAGAAACAGAATCATGAAAAATTACATGACTCAGACCTCAGCAGTGATGAGAAACATCCAAAAAAGAAAAAAATTGGATGATTTAATGTTATTAAAGCAACTTAGAATAAACAAAGTTGAACTGGATGCAGTCAGAGATGAATGGTGTAGAAGTAAATGACTGGAGCTGCATTATTTAATGAACACTGTCAAATTCACTTAAAGCCTCCAAAGGATGGGCTATATCAAAAGCTAAGCACAACAGACATCAACAGGGTAGGTTTCCTAGAATGACTTCTGAGCCAACAGTCCAAGACCGTTTGTTGATTTCAGACCCACTTAGCCAAAACCTCAAACATAAATAATTCTGATAATTACAGATATACTACTATTTTATATTGATTCTATAAAAGAGGCTTTTAACTAGTAAAATAATTTTCTGAAAAATACAACAGTGTTCAAAGGTATCTGCAGGGCAAATTCATTCAAAGGCAGAAAGGTCAGCTCCGACAGTTACAGTAAAGTGTTATAGGGGAGATTCCAAAGGAGTAATATGAAACAGTTTAAAGAAAACTGAAAACTGCATTGATGAGACAAATGCTAGAGAAGTGCCGGGGAACTGTTTTCCTATCACAATATTCCTACCCATTCTTTGAGGGAAGCATGGGCTGTCTGATGTTAATTCTGTTGGGAAAACTTACCCCACCACCCTCCAGCCCTGAACTTGTCCCTTTGAGACTTTTCATTCCCAAACTTTACGAACATTTACAAGGAACAGGATTGAGTCCCTTGAAGATGCCAAAACTGACATTTAGACATGTTATATTGAAGCACACAAAATTCTTTGGGGAAAGGATATAAAAATACCTTCTTCTAACATGTATAGACATAGATGGAAGATATGCCAAGAAACAGCTTCACATTTTATTTCAAATAGTTTTCTATGATTTTGCAGCAAAACTTTACTTGCCTTCATATAGAACAGCGGTTCTCAACCTGTGGGTTGCAACCCCTTTGGGGGTTGAACGACCCTTACACAGGGGTCACCTGATTCATAACAGTAGCAAAATTAGTCATGAAGTACCAACGAAAATAATTTTATGGTTGGGGGTTCACCACCACGAGGAACTGTATTAAAGGGTCACAGCATTAGAAAGGCTGAGAACCACTGATACGGAATATGAAAGACTCGAGACTGAAACCATGACTGATTCTGTCATTGCTGTATTCCCTGAGCCTTGCCTAATGCCTAAATGCTAGACAACATCCATATAAACTGATGAATTGTTATTATAGTACTTTATTATATAGTACTTCCAAGCCCACAATCAGAATGCAACCGATGTATTAAAACCTTAAACACCTTCCCCCAAGCGTGCTAATGGTACTATACTTACTATAACCCATTAGCTCCCCGCCAGGCGCCTCTGCAACGATGAAATACTCTGGCCAATGGGCAAGGTATTGCAAGTAAAAAGGAATCCCATACTAGAGTCATGTTAAGGAGTGTGATCATGAACAGTCAAAGGTTTCCTTGACTTTACCTCAATTTTATATCTTTATACACATCCGGAACATATAACCTCCAAAAACAACATGAAACTAGGACAGCAACGTGCTGTTGTCTGTTCACTGAGCAGTCTTCTCAGTCTGCATAGCACTTGCCATCACCTGACACTTATTTTCACTGCCTATTCCGCTCCATCAGAATGTGAGATCTTGTCCTGCTTTATCCCAAGTTAATAAATAAGAGTTGCTTGATATGTTTCCACAATTACAGATTAAAATTGCAAATCGAAAACTAATTGTTAATTTCTACATGGGCTTTCCTATAAGACAGTGGATAACTTTTAAACTTCATTTTGAGAAGCAACCAGTTTTCTGGCCTTACAGATTCAACTCTAGGTGTCTTTTTTTTTCCTTCCCCCTTGGTGTCTTTATTGACAGGTTTCTTCTAAACATGTGATATCAGGAAAACCTACTCAGTGTTAAAATTATTATTCAAACTCTCCTCTGATGAACAGCCATCAGAGTATTCCAATATAACCCTTAAATGGCAGACTAGCTAATCTTGCTACCTTAGCATAACTGACACTATATCCATCTATTCCTGACAACCAGTAGGATCAATCAAATTATGTTCAAATATGTCTACCTGAACTAAAAGACTTTCACTGTAAAATTTAGATTTAACTAGAAGTATGTGAGATGACTTGCCATTTCTTATTTCCCCTTGTTAAGGAGCCCTGGTGGCAGGGGTTACGAGTTGGGATGCTATCTGTAAGGTCAGCAGTTCAAACCACCCCCTGCATGGGAGAAAGATAAAGCATTCTACTCTCTTAAAAGATTTAGTCTCAGAAACTCACAGGGGGCACTTCTACTCTGTCCTACTGGGTCACTATGAGTCAGAATTGGCTCAATGACAGTGAGTTTGGTGTCTAAGGAGCCCGGCTATATTTGTTGGGTTGATTACAACAAGGTTGGAAGGTCAAACCCACCAGCTGCCGCAGAGTCAAAAGATGAATCTGTTCACAGTCAGATTTAGAGCTTCAGAAATCCAAATGGCGCAGTTCTACTGTGGCAGTTACATAATCTGTTAACTTAAGCCAAGGTCAATCAGGTCACAGTCAATGAAGCCTGTGTGGGCATGGCCTTCTTCCTGAAGATTCTGGGAACTCCTGTCTTCCTTCCAGGAGGTTGGACACACACACTCTGTTTCGTCTTCCTGCTGACAAGACACATGGAGCAACACTGATCCCAGAGTCCTAGAGCTGGAGGAGCCATGTGGAGACCCACACCAGTCCTGAGATGCTTCCACTGCCACTGGACTGACTTAATCGTAATAAAAAATTACTCTGATGAAAAAGCTCTCATACATATATGAGCATCTCTGGATTTGGTACTCTACCCAGATTAACACATTATGGTACCAGAAGTGGGGTAGAGGCAGCATTCTCAGTGCTTTTAGGTCTAATCAGGATAGAGACCCAATGTGAGAAGCCCATATTTTTATGATCTCTAGTAGTTCTCTAGAACTACTCCCAGTACTCTGGATTTGTTTTTCTTGTCTACCCAGAATAGCACATCAACTGTCCTAAAAGATAACTAGGAGGCAGATTTGAACTGATGGTAGTGAGTTTGGCTGAGTTTATGTGGTAAAAACTTTCATAATTCTTCAAAAACCTTTTTCCTGAAAATTTTGCTAAGAGAAGCCCTAGTGATGTAGGGGGTTACGACTTGGGTTGCTAACTGCAAAATTGGAAGTTCAAACCTACAAACAGTTCTGTAGGAGAGATGAGACTTTCTGTTCCTGTAAATGTACAATCTCGGAAACCTAGGTGGCAATGCCTTTGCGCTTGAGTCTGATTGCCCTGAGATAATCTTTAAACGTTTAACTAAAAATATCCTCTGAAATCATTTTAAAGCCAAGCAATCATTTAAGCTTAATAAAAAAGGTCTTCCTTGAGAACTATAGGCACCTTAGTGGCATAGTGATTACACCTAGGTTAGCAGTTCTAAACCACCAGCTGCTCTGAAAGGTGGGGGGGGATACTTTCTATTCTCATAGAGTTGCAGTCTCAGAAACCTCCAATTTCTATCCTCATAGAGTTGCCCTAAGTCAAAACTGACTAGATGGCATGAGTTTGGTTTCTCGTTGAAAATTAATGCTTTTAATTTTAATTGAATTGAATGGGATCGAATAGAAACCAGATGAAATCTTTTTAAGAGTAGTGAATTTGTTCATGACGAACACCTCAGAAAAGGGGTGAGAATGGCTGCACAACTTGAACAATGTAGTCAATGTCGCACCGTTGTTTTGCTGAGTACATGCTAGACAAACAGCCCCGTTAGTGCAACAGTTCAAGTGTTTGGCTGCTAACCACAAGGCTAAGAATTCAAACCTAGCAGCAGCTCCTTTGGAGAAAGCTGAGGTTATCTGCTCTCTCAGAGATTTGTCAGAACCCTAAGGAGTTCTGCTCTGTCCTCCAGGGTTGATTTGAGTTAAAATCAACCCAATGGCCATGGGTATTATCAACAAAATTTAAGGGGAATGAAATTTTTAAAAAGAATCTTAGATCATTTATAAATTTCAAAATATAAAACTACACATTTTCATTAAGCTATTATTCCTACTGTGCATCATGTTATTGCCGACACTTAAAAGTTTTTCATTGCTGTATAGTACCCCAAAGCGTGAATAAACAAACATCTTGTCTCCCAACAATGAACATCTGAAGGTAACTATAAATCTTCATGACTATAACATAATTATTTCGATGCTATACATGGATGCTATTGCAATTTTTTTATTTCTCCTGTAACAAATACCTTCATAATGATGTCAGCAAACTTTTTCTACAAAGGGTCAGACAGTGAATATCTTTGTGGGCCATGTAATCTCTGATAAACTTCAAAGTGAAAAAGCCAGACAATTTTTAAGTTAACATTGCATGGCTCTGTTCCAATATAATTTTACAATGAGTGAATAAATGTGGCCAGTTTGCCAGCTCTTCATATGACTAACTCATTGATTATTTTAAGTTTGCCGGAAATGGATTTACTAAATATGACATTGCCAAAGTGCCTTCCAGAAAGTCATTTATATGCTTACTAGCAATTTATGGGCACCCTGGGAGTATAGAGGGTTGTCAAAGCCACCAGTTGCTCCAAGAGAAAAAAAAATGAGGCTGCTTACAACTGAAAAAATGCAGTCTCAGAAACCCATAGGGTTTCTACTGTGTCCTATAAGGGTTGCTGAGGCAGGCTTAACTCAATGGTAGTTAGAGCAATTTAGGAGAATATTCTCAGCATGGGGTTCTATCATTTTTATTAAACACTTGTTAATTTTATAGGTAAAATACAGCATTTCCTTTTGAGTTTTAATTCATGTCTTTTGATTGGTGAGAATGAACTCTTAATAGCCTCTTAGAGACACCCTTTTTGTTAAATTAACAGAACCGTTCTATCAACTTGCAATGAACAGAGCATAAGCCAAAAACCCAACTTTATGTTTTCAACTCAAGTTGTGGGAGTTGTTAGTGCATCATAACCTAGAGTGTCCTAACTGCACATATCTTTGCCCATTTTTCTATTGGGGAGCATGAGGAACTCCTATAACCTAAAATGCTTTCTTAACTTTATTAACAAGCCCCGATTTTAGGCAGGCACATTTTCTGCACAGGTGTGGCAAGACAGAGCTGCTAATCTATGAGCTGCAGACCTGTTGCTAGAACTTCTTTTAGAAGAGCTTTAAAAGTATCCTCTCCCCGTTGGACAGGGCAAGATATGAAAAAATAATTTATAAATTATCAAGGGTTCATGAGGGGGGAGCAAGGAGGGAGGGGAAAAACTGAGGAGCTGATGCCAGGGGCTTAAGTGGAGAACAAACATTTTGAAAATGGTGAGGGCAATGAATGAACAAATGTGCTTTATACAACTGATGTATGTATGGATTGTGGTAAGAGTTGTATGAGCCCCTAATAAGATGATTTTTTTAAAAAAAGGATCCTCTCTCCCTTCTATTCATCCTGCAGCCAAGCACAGCAACTATCTTGAAGAGGAACTCAAGGCCACCATGGAAATGGGGCAGTGGCTGATCAAGTCACTGGTGACTTCAGGGACTGCTCATCCCTGTTACAGCACAGAGACAACCCATCCTGCAGCTACCATGCTTCCTGTTGTGAGCAGCCACACTCACAACTGAAGGGCAAGGTACAGAAGTCAAATGGTACCAATTTATAGGTTAATATAATAACAGTTTGTCAAACAGATTTAAGAAAAGTCTTGTTTGTTCCCAGTTTTACTTTTTTTCACAGCTTTCAATATTGCTTATATTTCCAGACTTCTACATTTTTAATGTTGTTAGTGATTGCTTATTTGTTTCTTTTGTTTTTCCACTTCATTTATTCTCAAAAGGTCTTCATATAACTGTTTATAGAAAGGATACAGTTTCTGTAAGCGGATCCAAGTTACTGAAAGAAATAAGGAAATGTTAACGGTAAGTAGTGTTCACAAAAACAAAGTAGCCCAGTAAAATTAAGAGACAAACAATACATATGAAATTCATTCAATTTCAGAGCCAAGCAAGGTAGTTTAATAATGGCCATATTAGCTATTACTGATATAAAGGTATCTACAGTACTTTCATGTAACTGCATTTTTCTTTATAAATTATAGTTACTAAATCTTCATCAATACCTTCAATCTTCTTAAAGGCAATAAAGTTAATGCAACCTGGGTATGTAATTAAGTCAAAATGTACTGCTACAAAGGAAAAGAAAAAAGCATTACTACAAATTTAACAACCTTTATTAAATAAAAATTTCAAAATGCCAAGCTTCTGTTCCTCAATATATCCCCCATATTTGAGTCTAGACACTTCTAAAATATGTGTTCCCATCTTTTAGTTCGTCACTGAAGAAGTCTGTGCTCTTTTTCCCATTAACACCATGTCAAAATGGTGGTTTGGCATCCTTCTGGGACGCAAATCAAATTCCTTGTAAATTTCATGGAGTTTCGGGAACAAAAAAGTCTGAAGGAGCATGATCAGGGCTGAAAGGTGACGGGTAAGGTTTCCCAACACAGTTCTTAGAGGACAGCCCTGACTAACCTGGGAACACGAGCAAGTGAAGCAGGAGCTTTTGTCACAATGGGGGCAAAACTCCATCACCGCCACTTTAGTGGCCTTTATCTGATCAGTGCAGTTTTGAATAGTCTAAAAACTTTGTCATCAGCCCTATGACACCCTGTGTCCTTCATGATAATCTACTAATATTACCCTTTTTGGAAGCCCCCCAAAACAGCTGCCATAACCTTCTGAGCTGACTTATCTGCCTTGAATTGAACTGGCCAAGTAGATCCCCTTGGCAACCTGTGACTTGCTTGTAAGGCACTCTAACAAGCTAAGACAAGTGTATTACTGAGAGGACTCATCTGCAGGCACCAGCAACAGCAAAGACATGTTTTGTAGCCGTGGTGGCATAGCCCTGGTTACGCACTAGGGTACTAACTGCAAGGTCAGCAGTTCAGTCACCAACCACTCTGTGGGAGAAAGAGGAGGCTTTCTATTCCCATGAAGAGTTATAATCTCAGGAACCCACAGGGCAGATCCACCCTGGCCTATCGGGTATCCGAGAGTCAGAACCGACTTGATGGCACTGATGTATAAACTGAACCTTAGTAACAATACTTTCTGGCTCGCCTAGTGCGTCACAAAAAAACCAGTTTGTCCGACATCTGACTACATGGACTCTCCCCACCCTACCTTTGGAACTTCCCTGACAAGTTTATCTTTCTCCATTCAGTCCTCTAAACGTGGGTACTCTAACCACTCAGCCCTTGCCCCTCACTGCCACTATGTTTAATATCCTCACTTCTCCAGTGTCCCATGCCTAATCTTTCCATTAGTTTTTTTCAGAGGAAACCTCCTCAAATAGGCTCTGATGCAAAATAACCCCATCACCACCAGTCCCCAAAACCAGCATTTGTAACACCGATCACCTCTTCCTTCCCCAGTTAGCTCTGCTCCTCACTTTCCTTTGCCATTCTCAAACCAGCTACCTTAACTTTTCCACTTTTTCCACTATTCCATCTTCTTTGAACTCAGGGCCCTAATGAGTCCTGGCAGTCATTTCTCTAGTCCAGCAAGTTCTCAAACATTTTGGTTTCAAAATTTCTTACTTTCTTAAAAACTACTGAGGACCCTAAAACACTTATGCTTATGGGTAATTCTGAAATGTACTGATACATTTAAAAGTAAACCCATTATATTGTCAGCATAATTTTTTTTTTAATCAGTAATTTTTCCAAAACAGAACAAAACTTAAGTGGCAAGAGTAGCACGTTTTGTACACCACTTTAATGGCCAGGCTTACTGTAAGACAGCTTGTTCTGTATCTGCTTCTATAGTAAAGCTGTTCTAAGATCACACATATAGAAAACTAAAAAAAATGATTATGTGAAAAAGGGGGGAAAAAATCTTATCATGAAAATAGCCTTAACTTTGCAGAGTCCCTGAAACAATCCCGAGAATGCTTAGGTCCCTCGAAATGCCTAGGCTCCTAGGCCACACTTTGCAAAAATTGGTATAGTCCAGTGTGAGGACTTGCCTCCCCACTCTGACACTTGATGACTACTTTAGATCTTGTCATCTCTCTTCAGCTCTCCAAATGGCTCCTCCCCCTCCTTCAGATCTCTGCAGCCTCCTATTTCCTAAAAGAACTGTAAAGAAAAAAAAAGCTTCCACCAAACTCACTAACCAACAAGCACCTAGTCATATTCCTGATATGCTTTTCTAAAAGCATGGGCAAAGTGCTGGTGAGTAGATGCCACCCCTCGACTACATAAGACCCTGCTCCTGAATTCTGTTCTCTTCTCTAAGAAATGTACAATTATGCTGAACACTTCATCAGCAACAGCTCTCTTGACAGTTTCCCATTAGCTCCACTGAAAATGCTTTCTTCAGATGGCTTCCAAGCCTCCAGCATCCTACTTTTCCTCTCATCTCACTATAAGTCACCCAGTTTCCTTTAATGGCTTCTCTAATGTCTTTAACTTCTAACATGCGAGCATCCCTGGGCACTATCCTTAAGCTTCTGTTGTTTATCTACACTTACTCCATTACTGATGTCCCATAACCTTGTGGTTTTAAATGTCAACTATATGGTGTTAAAGGGGCCCTGGTGTAGTAGTGGGTGACATATTGGGCTATCTACAAGGTCAACAGTTCAAAACCACCAACTGCTCTGCAGGAGAAAAATGAGGCTTTCTACTCCTCTCAAGATTTGTTGTTGTTAGGTTGAGTCCATTCTGGCTCATAGCAATCATGTACAACAGAACGAAACACTGCCTCGTCTTGTGCCATCCTCACAACTGTTATGTTTATCCCATTGTTGCAGCCATTGTGTCAATGCATCTTGTCAAGGGTCTTCCTCTTTTCACTGCCCCTCAACTTTACCAAGAATGTCTTTCCAGGAACTGGTCTCTCTTGGAAGAGCCCTGGTGGTGTTGCGGCCATCCATTGGGCTGCTAACCACAGGGTCAGCAATTTTAAACTACTAGCCACTCACAAGAGAAAGATGAGGCTTTCTAGTCCTGTAATGAGTTACAGTCTTGGCAGCAACCTACTGGAGTAGTTCTACAGCAAATCTACAATGCAATTTGTCATTTGATCTCCTGACTGCTGCTTCCATCAGCATTGATTGTGAATCTAAGTAAGACAAAATCCTTGCTGTCAATCTTTTCTGTTTATCATGCTAGTTACTGGTTCAGCAGTGAGGATTTTGGATTTCTTTACATTCAGTTGGAATCCATAATGCAGGCTGTAATCCTTGATCTTCATCAGCAAGTGCTTCAAGCCCTTCTCATCTTCAGCAAATAAGATTGTGTCATCCGCATATAGAAGGCTGTTAATAAACCTTCCTTGAATGCCGAAGCCATTCTTCGTCATATAATTCAGCTTCTCTAGTTACTTGTTCAGCATACATATTGAAAAAGTATAGTGAGTGGACACAACGCCGACACAACTTTCTTGATTTTAAAATATGCAATTTTCCCTTGTTCTGTTTGCACAACTTCCTCTTGATTCATGTATAGATTCCACATGAGCACATGGGCGTTCTGGAATTCTTCTCAAAGTTCCTAAGTATTTGTTATGGTTCACACAATCAAATGCGTTTGCATAGTCAATGAAACAAAAATAAACACTTTTCTGGTACTGTCTAATTTTAGCCAAGAATCCAACTGGCATCAGTAATGATATACTTTGTTCCACGTCCTCTTCTGGAATCTATCCCAAACTACTGGCAGCAACCTGTCAGTGTACTGCTGCAACCATTGTTGGATGATCGTCAGCTAAATTTTACTTGCATGGGATACCAATGCTATTGCTGTATAATTTGCACATTCTGTTGGATCACCTTTCTTATGGAAGATTTGCCGTCTCAAAAACCCACAGAGACAATTCTACTCTGTCATATTGGGTCACTATGAGTCACAATTACTTTCCCTGCTTTAATTTTCTCCTTTGTATTTAAATCTTCTATTTTCTACTTATGTTGTGTCCCTCTAAAATGTAAATTCATTGAGGCAACAATTTTTGTCAGTTTTACTCACTGCTGTATCCCCAGCACAGATATATAGTAGACACCTGAATATATTTCTAAGGCTAAATGAAAAAAAAAAAAAAAAAAAGCACAACTCACTGCCATTGTATCAATGCTGACTCATACTGACCCCCTGTGGGTTTTCAATACTGGAACTGTTTACAGGAGTAAAAAGTTAGTCTTTCTCCAGCAGAGCTGCTGGTGGTTTCCAAGTGCTGACCATATAAAGCGCAACCCAGCTTGTAGCCACACACCACCAGGTCTCCTTAAGGATGAATGAAAGATGTGTTATATTAATTGTGATGCTTTTACATACATTGTATCTTTCAGTTCCTACTTCAGCACCCTAATCCAGTGAATCTCCGAATTTTCTACCAAAGTACCCGCATCAGAAAAAGTGAGAATTAGAAGAGTGGCATATTTGGAAGAGGACTTCTAATAAGTTAAATGATTCCTTTAAATCTGTTACATCAGAAATGTTTGTGCTTACTTTTCTACTTCCATTCATTTTCACATAAAAATAATGTCCTTTCCTTGCTCTCCAAGAGGCTTTGCATGGTCTATTCTCGATGCTTCAAGCCATCTCGTCACTTCCCAGGTTTTATCTCCCAAAGTCATCAACTTTGGGACAATGCAAAGCCCCCAATGGACTCACTGGTCTCTTCTACCTCCTCTAATTGCCTCACATGCCCAGTGTTGCTCTTGCTGCTGGTTGGGGCCACTGAGAAAAACAGCTTTGAGAGCCTTTGTTGGGTTTCCTTCCACCCACTCCCACCTTATGGTTCATCACAAGAGGCAATTCACCTTAACTTTACCTTTGATGGGAGGATAAAATGTATTACAAATAAGATTCATTCCGAACAGAGCCAAATTCCTGAGATAGCTTTTCTGGTTTGACCAAAACCGGATCAAATCCAAATCCCTCAACAATGGAGCTTTGGTCCAGTTTCACTAGCTTCTCTGACTATGCAGTTCCAGAAAGCAAGCTTGAAGGACACTGCCCACCAATCTGACTTCAAAACGGGGGTGGGGGGGTGCAGAGATGGGGAGCTGGGGGTGGGGGGGTCCTACGCGGTGGTGCGGAGCTACAGTAACTAAATTTATGAATGCACGATGAGAAATGTGCCGCTGTGGTGTACAAGGACCAGTGTTCTCTCGTTCCAATACAAACTGACTAACCCGGCTGGCCTCATGGGCGGCTCCATGCCGAAGCTGCACGCGCAGAAAAAGCTAGCGCTGCCCCCAAGAGCGTCGTTCCCGACCCAAAGCGGGAGGAGAAACTCCCGCAGAGTCACCGCCGGGAAGCGGAGAGCTGGGCACCCGAGCGGCCCACTCGGTGCCCCAAGTCCCCGAGCTGAGTCAGGGCCCCCAGAGAGAGCCGGCAGACGAGGGGCTACCGCAGGGGGCGCCTCACTTACATGTTGTTGAAGCGAAACAGGTCGTCGCAGGTAAAAGCTCGGAGCGTAGTCATTGCGCGGCTCCCGCGGCCCAAGCCGGCTCCCCGCGCCTCCCCCGCTCCACCGGAAGTCATTGCCCAGAGGGCCAGACAACTACTTCCAGGTTACGGAACTACTTCCGGACTGCTTCCAGGCTACGGAACTACTTCCGAGCCGCAGGTTGCTCAACAGCGACATAGCT